TTTTATACACCATGTAGGAAATTAACGAAAAAACGTTGAAATCTTTAAAAGACATCTGAGAAAACACTGAAAATCAATAAAAATTCGAATTTCGCGCGCTTTTACCAGAAGTTGGCCTAGAAAACTCACACCTGGCCGCTAGGCCACCGGTTCCCACTTTGATTTTTCGATGCCGTTTTTCTCAATGAAGGAATTTTTTTTTGAACTTTTTCTTTATTTTTATGGGGATCTACATGGATTTCTGCACAAAATAAAGCAATAAAATTTTTCACCGCACACCACCTTTAAAAAATGTTTCCTTCAAAATGCTCACATTTTCAGATGTACTTTGTATCGTGTGTTGATCTCCTCTGTCTTCTTCACCATTTCTCGCACAAAATCCATGTAATATATCCAGATATTGATTCGAAGTGATATCGGATCGTAGTTTCCTAACATCACTCATCCAAGGATGGCTCTCTTGAATTGAACACTTTTTGATATCAACAATTTGCGAGACTGGCAAAATCTCAAAAGTGCGTTTCAAAATACCCTCAAAATGCGAATCACATGCTCTGAATGCTCCATTCGACTTGTAAATCGAACGGGCGGTTCCTACAGTAATTTTATCCAGAAATGCCGATAGAAAAATCAATTTTTCTTCAGAATCTCCCAATCTTCTCAAGTCCTTTGCCTCTTCTTTCCTACAAACTACACATTTCATCTGGTCCACGAATCCTTCAATCTCTCTTCTCTCCAACTCATCCATCACAAATTGATTGTAACTTTCTTGGGATTCGAATTTTTCGCAAAATTTGAAAATCGTTCGTTGTAATCCGATACTGAATAGAAGCGAGATGCTTCGAGCGGCTGTCGCTAGATTATGGTTTGGTCCGATATTGATTTTTTGGAGTTGTTCAATCGATGAGACATTCAAGTATTCGAAAAGTTTGGTTACTGTAGATATTGGGTGTTCCAGGCAGACGAAATCGAATTCTTCAGAGTTTAGCAATGAGATCGCTTGCTGCAAAATAATAGTTTTATTTTTCAATAAATTTACAGTTTTTTTTAACTCGAATTCTATATTTCAACACCAGTACTGTCAAAACCTGACATCACCATCGAATTCCATATGCTTTCTTATGGGGTTATACAGTGAGAAGCAATTCAGCAAATTGCCGGTTTTTTTCCGGAGCGAGACCCAACCGGGAAATTCGTTGCGCCTTTAATCTTGTGGCGATTTACGGCACGGCCTCGCGGAAGGGAACCTAGATTTAAAAATTGGAAAGCGCGCCAAGTTTGGACGCGTAGCGCGGTCGCGTCGCGGCTTTTCGGTGAGTAGCGACTCAACAACGCTTAACTTCACGTTTTTTTCAAAACACGTTTCAAAATTTTCGAATCTGGCACGCAGCCAACTTTTGTGTGCGACGAAGCGCGCGTTTTTCAGGTTCCAGACCGCGATGCCGTGAAAATTGCTGGTTTTTCTGCTTTCTGCATAAGGAAAAAACCAGCAATTCGCTGAATTTCTTGTCACTGAATAACCCCATTACCCAAATTCTGGAATTTTCAGTTTTCTTCTTCAAAGTGTCGTAAGATATGGTGTTTCTGTAGTTTGGTCTATGCAGACAATACATCATATTTTACGGCACTTTGAGCTGGGAAGCTGAAAATTGCAGAATAGGGATAGGGGTCCATGAG